ATCACTGGAGTGTTAAGATCATTTGTCCTGCTGGGAGAGAGTACTGTGGGGTCAAAGGGCATAGGCGATATTGGGATGGTGCTAGGGAGAAGTGGAATTAACAGCAAATGGACCACACATTTTGTGGGTACAATCTATGGGCCTTACGGATGGGTTGGATATGAAGGATAGGGAAAGAGAAAGATGCGAATGTCACTGCAGGAGCCCAAGTTACCGAGGGAATGACAGTGCTGTGTGCGGAGTGAGGGAAGAGTGACGGGGCAGGGATGGCGGCAAAGCAGACTGTAAAACTCCTAATGCCAACATGCAAACCCTGCTTTGACTTCAGTCTGCTTCTGTGGGGATGACTAGGCTGGCATATTTTTCTTCCTTAGATGAAGAAAATAGCTTTGAACTTGACACAGACACTTGCACACACACAGGACAATGCTTGGTACCAATCAGGAATGCAAAAAGAAACCGGCACCCAGTCCTAATGGCAAACATCTCTCACATGCACTCCGTTCAGATGGCCAAAGAGCAGACCTGGGAATAAAAATAAGGACACAACTATAAGTACCCTTCTCAGATGTTTTCTGCTTTTAAAAATGTATTGTATTTTATTTTTAAGAAGCAGTATTATAGAGAGAAAGAAATTTTCTATCCCCAAATGGATACAACGCTCAGAGCTGAGCCAATCAGAAGCCAAGGTCCCAGTACTTTGGGCCGTCCCCGACTGCTTTCCCAGGCCACAAGCAGGGAGCTGAATGGGAAGTGCAGCAGCCAGGACATGAACCAGCACCATATGAGATCCCGGCCAATGCAAGATGAGGATTTAACCATTGAGCCATTGTGCCGCCCCCACCCCCTCTTTTTTTAAGCTTGGGATGGTAGCTCTCGAGACATCCCTCTACTATCTCCTTGATCTACAATAAAATACACTTTCTCTTCTCTTTATCCTCACACCTTCTGTTTATTATTCTGAATCAGCACTGCTCACAAGGACCAGATTTCCGGGAACAATCCTGAGCTGCTTCTCGATTGTCCAACAATGACCAAGTCTCTATGGTTTTACTTCTGCTGAACATGTCGTGTGAACAGAACAACACGACCTGTAGCCTTTTGGGGGGTGCTTCCTCCCCTTAGCTCAATGCTCTCAGAGTTTATCCACACCACAGCAGATGTCTGCAGTGCATTCCTCTTAATGGCTGAATAATAGCCCATTGTGTGCTATGGCATATCTTGTTTAGCTATTCATCAATTTATAGACATTTAAGTTTTGGGACATTTTAGCTACTATAGATAGTGTTGCTATGAATGTTCATGTATGTTACTTTTTAGAAAATACTTTTTAAAACTAATTTGAAAGGCAGAGAACAGAGAGGGAGTGACAGAGAGAGAAAAAGATTTCCCATCCGTTGGCTCACTCCCTAAATGCCCACAAGCGCTGGAGTTGGGCCAAATTGAAGTCAGGCATTCCTTCAGGGTCCCCATGTGGGTGCTGGCACCCAGGTACTGCTGCCTTCCCCGGCACGCTAACAGGAAGTTGAATGGGAAGTATAAAGCAGCCAGGACTTAAACTTACATTCTAATATGAAACACAGGCCTCCCAAACAATGATTTAATCTGCTGGGCCACCATTCCTGCCTATTATACGCAATATTTTGTATGAATGTTCGCTTTTGATTCTCCTGGGTATGCGCCTGCGAGTAGAATTGCTGGATCACATAACAATTCTAGGCTTAATGATCTGAGGAACCAACAAATTGTTTTCTGTGTTTATCTTTGACAATGCTTACCTGTTCTTTTTTAAAGTTGTGTTGTGGTTTTTGTTTGCCTTTGAACTTCTCTAGTAACTAATAACATTGGACATCTTAAATGTGCTTATTGGCCATTTCTCATTTTGCTACGGAAATGTTTAACCCCTTTGGCCACTTTGGAATTAGCTTGTCTTTACTAGGGAGCCTTAAGAACTTCTTGCTGTTGCCTAATCCATGGTTACAAAGATTTAAACCTAAGTTTTAAGAATTTTGTAGTTCTACTTTTTTTTTTTTTTTTTAAGATTTACTTCTTTGCTGATTTGAAAGGCAGAGTTACAGGGACAGGGAGACAGGGATAGAGAGAAATCTTCCTTTTGTTCGTTGTCTCCCCAAATGGCCACCAAGGCCAGGGCTGGGCCAGGCCCAAGTACCTGGGTCAGCTGCTGCTGCTCTCCCAGGTGCCTCAGTAGGGAGCTGGAATCGTCACCCATACGTGATACCGCTGTGTCACAATCCCAGTCCTATTCGTTCTTACATTCAGATCTTTGGATCTGCTTTAACCTAATTTCTGCATACGGTATGAGGTAGTGGTATTAGCTCCCCGTTTTCATATGAATGTTCAGTTGTTCAATTACTAGGTGTTGAAAGGTTATTCTCTTCCCACTCAATGGTTTTGACATCCTTTTCAAAAAAGATGGTGTAGCACACTGATCCTCTGCCTGTGGTGCTGACATCCCATATGGGCACTGATTCCAATCCAGTTCCCTGCTCATGTCATGGGGAAGCAGTGGAGAATGCCTTGCCTCCTGCACTCATGCCTTGGCCTCCTGGCTCCCAGCTTCAGACCAGCCCAGTCTCTGCCATCTACGTGGGAGCCCCGGCTTCTGGCCTTGCAGACATCTGGAAAGTGAACCATCAGGCAAGAGGTCTCCCTCCGATGTGGTTTAACTAGCTAGCTACTTCAGGTCGGAGTGAGCTGCAAGTTCCTGCAAACCACAATGCAATGTTATGTCTTTACCTGTCACTCAAAGTCATCCCCATCCCAGGATGTTACATCTGAGCCCTAGAGGGGAGGATGATATAAAAATGTTAGTATTAAGTTCCATGTGGAATTGAAGAAGTATCAGAAAATTTCCTGGATGCTTCAAGAATGCAGTGGTATCGTCAGCAACCCCACAGGAGAGGCCAGTTTGCAGGGTGCTCGCTCTGTTTTGTCAAGGACCACCGCTGGGGGCGCTACTGAGGCACTCACTGTCTTCTCCCGCTGAGCAATCCTCTGGCCCATTCATGTGGATATTCCTCCCAATGGAGCAACACACTCAGGTGAATGTGTGCTTACCATCTCACATGCTGAATAAATGTTGCTACCTCTCTGTGCCCCTTGTGTATGTCTGCACTTAGAAGTCTTGCCTTTGTGTGAGACTAGGGCCTGGTGAAAGGATAAAATTCGTTTATTTTTATTGTTATTTGAAAGGCAGTTTCAGAGAGAAGGAGAAAGAGAGGTTTTTATCCACTAGTTCATTCCCCCAATGGCCAGGGTGGAGACAATCCAAAGCCAGAAGCCAGAAGTTTCTTTAGGGTCTCCCACGCGGGTGCAGGGTCCCAAGGCTTTGGGCCATCCTCGACTGCTTTCCCAGGCCACAGGCAGGGAGCTGGATGGGAAGCAGAGGAGCAGCCAGGACATGTACGAACGCCCACTCGGGATGCCAGCACCATGGGTAGAAGTTAAGCCTGCTATGTCACAGGTGTGGGGGAGACCAGGATATTTATGCCCATAACATTTTTTTTTTGCCTCTCAAATAATAATAAAATTAAAAACTAAAACCTAGTGCCTAACTCCCACGTCAATCACTGTCTCCAACATGGTTACAAAGGAGGTGTGTGGAGGGAGTACTTTTTAATCCTGTAAGAACTAAACGTTGATGCATGGCTCAGCTCAGAACACTTATTGTCCTCCCACAGCCAGCACAGGTTTCCATTGCCTGTGCTGCCCTGCTCTCGGTGTTTCTGGCTGCTGAGTTAAACCTGGGATCACACGGGCCTTCTGCCCCCTTCTTTTTTACTGGAAAGGTAGATTTATAAAGAGAAGGAGAAACAAAAAGATCTGTCTGCTGATTGACTCCCTAAGTGGCTGCAATGGCCAGTGCTGATTTGAAGCCAGGAGCTTCTTCCGGAGCTCCCGTGTAGGTGCAGGGTCCTAAGGCATTAGGCCGTCCTCTGCTGTGTTCCCAGGCCACAAGCAGTTAGCTGGAGCAGAAGTGGAGCAGCCAGGACATGAACCGGTACCCATATGGTATGCCGGCGCTTATGGGTGGAGCAGTAGCCAGTTGACCCACCATGCCAGTCGGTCCCTCTCTGTTTTGGGGAATCAGACAGCACAGAAAGCTTGGGGTCTCTCCTTAACCCCAGAACAGCCAGGAAGTTTTGCAGGTGGGCATGAGGCTGGCACAGGGCCAGCCAGTAGCGCCTCAGGGAAGGCTTGTCCCTAGGGTGGCTATGGAGGCTCATGGGGCTGGTCACATATGCTGTGACAGACTTGGAATCTCAAGGCTTCTTTCAACCGGGGCCTCATTTCCTGCCCTCTGAGATGCTGAAGGACATCAGCATCTGTTGCTGGAGGTCCCTGTGTGGTCCCTGGAGGTCCCTGTGTGGCTTATGAAATCCAGAAGAGACTCTCACTCATTGTATGAACGCAACACGTGCTGCAAAAATCAGGTCATCAGCTAAGGTATGACCAGTCTGCAGTCTGCCTGTCCTTCAACGGCAGCTGCGAGGAGTTGCATGGGTAAGTCAAACAGATGCCAGGTCTGTAACTTGAGAATAAGTAACTTGACAAAAACAGACACCCCAGGTCAGGAGACTGCCCCAAGTGGGAGAGAAAAAAGTGGGGCGCACGAAACAGGCCACAGAGATCTCGTAGAGGACGGCTATATGCTCCCTGCCCCCTGTTGCACCTGTCCAAACTCTGCCACCTCCGTGGACTGGGAGCATGAATGCGTATCCTGAGACGCATGGGCCCACCTAGAGGTCTTTTCGGTTCCAATTCTTGCTTTTTTCATAAACGAATGAATCAGTCCCGTTGTTTTGGAACAGATCTGAGCTTAACAGAAACTGCTGACCAGGCAGGCGCTCCGCGCGAGGCTGACGTCATCTACCCCCGTCGCAGAAACAAGCGGAGTTTGCCAGGCTGGCTCGGGTTCCGCTGGGGCGCACAAGCCAAGGAAGCCAGAACGAGGCGGTCGCCAGGGCGAGCCACAGGACCCGCCTCCCACGCCCCTTCCTCCGCCCCCGGCCGGCGTCGGAGCCAGCCCAGCCGGACGCCCGAGGCCTGCCCGCAGCCGAGCCGTCCGCGCCCCGCACCCGGTAACGACGCGCGCCCGCCCTGCCGTCCTCCGCGCCCGGATCCCCGGCCGGGCCACCGGGGCGCACCGCGCCGCACCTGCCCCTCGCTGGCTCCCGCGCTCGGGGACTTGGCGCCGCGGGGAGGGCCGCGGGCCTGCCGGGCTTTGTAGCTTTGGCAGGTTTCCGCAGCTCCTGATCCCAAAACAGAGTAGCCAGGGGTGGAACCTGAGGCGCACGGCATACCGACCAAAAGGGCTAGACGCCTCTCTCCCTGGCCCAGGGCCTGCGCAGTTTCTACCCAAAGGGGCGTCCGTGTGCTGGCCCGCATCTAACACCTCTTCCGACACCTGTTTCCTTTGCCTCCTGCTTGTACTGGCCAGGTTTTCTGGGAGAACTTTGCTCTGGGTAGGACCCAGACGAGCCAAGTGGATGAAACCATCAGCTCAGTCTGTCGGGGGACCCTGGTTCTCTGGCTCAGCACCCCCTGTCCTGGGCAACAGGTTCTTCCAGGCTTCTATCTGGTTGACCTCAGCTGGAATCCGAGGACGTGCACAAGGGTGGGAGGTTGGGAGTGAGGGTGGGGCACATTCCAGGAACCCTGTTGTGACGCCAAGATCCGCAGATGGGCCATGTATCCACCGGCACGGTGCACATAACCCACTGCCATCCTCCCATGGCTTTCACCATCTCTAGATTAGTTGGCCACACCCAGTACCATGTCCGTTAAAGCTGTGGGCATCCCGGCACTGTTATTGTGACTGGAATGCAGGGGGACGTATTTTCCATCTTCACTTGGATGTGGGGTCCAAGGATCGGGAGGACTCCGTGGTTCTTTGTTGCTTTGTCCCGGGAATGTTGGTCCTGCCAGACCTTGGACAAAACAGGGACTCATCATTGCCCAGAGAGGAGAACAGTCAGGCCAGCTCCTTACACTGGCCAGTGCAGAGCCCACAGACCCCCACCCTTTGTTTCTGGGCAGCTGTCCACATCTTCCCTAAAGTGGGGGACCCAGCGAGCCAGAGGCCCTGCCCTCGCTCCTTGCAGCAGCTCCATGCAGCCCAGATGTCACGTTGTTTTTGTTGTGGTCCTGCCAGGTGGCATGGCCATACTCAAGGTCCTGGGCTGTTGGCACTGACTTTGACCGTTGCCACAGAAACCCTCGTCTTCACTGAAGGCACAGAGAGGCCTTGGCCATGACCTTGGCTCTGCTCACTTTGTGAAACCTTGTGTCTTCATTGTTCATTCAGTGGGGCTGGCTTTGGGAGCCACCCTGAGTTCTTTTTTTTTTTTTTTTTTTTTTTTGCTGTGGTCTCCTATGCTGGGTGACCACATGTCCCAGTTATCAGAAACCATTCTGGCTCATTCCAGGGTTACAAATATTCCTTCACATTGGAAAGATTCATGATGTGAATGATTAATCTTGTCTCAGTCTAAATTGGGTGCACTTGGACTTGTAAATGGCTGAGTAGGGACCTGGCAGCCCACATAGGACTCATACCAGGTTCGTGGGTGCCAGTGCCAGTCTCAGCAGCCAGAATTTCTCTAGCTCAGTACTACTTCTCGCCTTTTCCTTTTTCTCTCCTCTCCTCTCCTCTCCTCCCCTTCCCTCTTCCCGCCTCCCCTCCCCTCCCCTCCCCTTCCCTCCTCTCCCTTCTCCTCTCCTCTCCTCTCCTCTCCTCTCCTCTCCTCTCCTCTCCTCTCCTCTCCTCTCCTCTCCTCTCCTCCCTTTCTGTTTTTTTAGAGATTTATCTATTTCTGTTGGAAAGGCAGATACCCAAACAGGAGGAAGACAGAGAGGAAGAGCTTCCATCTAATGGTTCACTCCCCAAGGGCCACAACAGTTGGAGCTGAACCAATCCGAAGCCAGAAGCCTGGAGCTCTTGTGGGTCTCCTTGGTACAGGGTCCCAAGGCTCTGGGCCATCCTCCACTGCTTTTCTAGGCCACAATCAGGGAACTTGATGGGAAATGGAGCAGCAGGGACTCAGACCAGCAACCGGTTGGGATGCCAGTGTTGCAGGTGGAGGATTAGCATGTTGAGTCACCACATTGGCCCCACTCCTGCCCTTCTTATAGTGGGGAAGCACCAGATGGTGCTGTGTGTCCCCAGAAGCAGGGATTCCCCTCCATCCTCTGCCCAAGAGTCCAGGCTGATCCTGAGAGCTTCGTTGATTTCACATTCATCCCTAGAGCTAACTGAGGAGCTTCCAAACTGAAGTACCTAAATGCACCAGCGTGGTCCAGAGAAGAGCAAGCCAGCAGTGTTGCTCCTTGACCTGGCACCCAGCTCCTGCAAACCCAACTGATAAGGATGTGTGACCAAGGTTAGGTCCAAGGTCCCTGTGCTCCCCATGCAAGAACCAGAAAGCTCAGAGTCCATGCAGGCCCAACTGGCCATGACAGGAGCATTCTAAGGACAACGTGGCAACACGTCTAGAGTGTTCTAGGATTTCACTGGAGGGGAGAGACTAGTTACCAACCAGGATGGCTAGCTACCCTAATGTGCTTGGGACTGAGTGGTTTCCTGGGATCAGTTTGAAAAGCAGGTCAGTCCTGTCTTGGTGCTGGCTGCACCTTAGTTTGCCTCAGGAGTGAGTCTCAGTTGACACAGCTAGAATCTCAGGGAGGTGCATTTGTTGTTGTTGTTTTAGCACTTCCAAATTGATGTAACAAGCTGCCAAAGTTGAGAAGGCTACAGGCAGTTCCCCCAGGTAATTCTCAAAGGGAGTTGTCAGCTGAGCAGAAGTGGACCCTGACACCACTGAGATGGGATAGGAGCAAGTGTGTCAGTCTTCTGCGTATCAAAAGGGACATGGCAGTGGCGTTGCCTCTTAGGCCGTTGTCTTGTCCCATGCTAAGGCTAGCTTCCTCTCCAATAAGAGGACCAAGCTTTGTCTTCTCCACCATCTTTCTCCCAGCTAGGTAGTGGGACAGCAAAGCTGCCTCATCTGGGGAGGCATTAGGATTTGCACAGTTCCAGGTGAAGCTGGTGTGAGACTTGGAGATGGGCAGGGCCCCTCCCCTGTGAGTGGTTGGACCCAAGGCTGGTTGAGGGAAGCTGTGTGTACCTCAGCTTTGTCTTGTGGGGTACTGGTGGCTTGGAGAGCAGGTGCTTCTTTGCTGTCCCCTCCAGGATCATGTGGTACATTAGTACTCGAGGGATCTCCCCTCGGGTCGACTTTGAGGGGGCCCTCTTCTCTGGCTATGCACCTGATGGCGGCCTCTTCATGCCCGAGGAGCTCCCATGCCTGGACAGAAAGACCCTGCATGCGTGGAGCACTCTGTCTTACAAGGGCCTGGTGAAGGAGCTGTGTGCCCTCTTCATTGGCCCGGAGCTCATCCCAAGGGATGACTTAAATGGTGAGTAGTCCCCTCCCCCAAGCCAGCCCTCACACAGTTGAGAATCCGCTGCCTATTCTCTAGGAAGTCTCTAGTGACTTTTCCCAAAACGAGGGGAGAACTGTAGATTTAGAAATATCCCAGAAGAGTTCCCAGTTCCTTCCTCCAGTGTGAAGGATGCTGAAATAGTCTGCAGAGAGCCTCTTTATTTTTGAAAGAACTTCTTCAAGACCACTGACGGCATGATCTTGAACTTGAATGTTGAGTGTTTCATTCCTGCATATAAAGCACTTGGGCCTCCAGAGTGCCATCTGATTTTCTCTTAGCATAGACTGATTACAGTTTTGTTTCTTTGAATGGTAATTCTGGAAGAGACTTGAAGAATGTTCTGAACCAGCTCAAACTGCAGTGTGCCTGTGGATTGTTGTTGGGGTCTTACTGCAAAGTAGATTCTGACTTACGAGGTCTGGGGAGAGACAGAGCAAAGACTGGCTAATTCCCCAAATGGCCACAATGGGGAGGGCTGAAACCAGGGGCCAGGACTTTCTTTTGGGTCTCTCACATGGTGCAGGAGGCCAAGCATTTGGTCCATCCTCTGTTGCTTTGGCAGTTGTATTAGTAGGGATCTGATTCAGAAACTGAGCAGCCTGGGACTTGAATCAGTACCCATTTGGGATACCAAAGTTTCAGACAGCAGCTTAACATGATATGCCACCATGCAGGTTCACAGATTTTTTTTCTAAGTTTATTTATTTGTAGTTTTTAAAATGATTTATTTTGTTTTTATAGGAAAGCCAGTTTTACAAAGGAGAGACAGAGATAAAGATTTGTCCGCTGATTCACTCCCCAAGTGGCCACAATGGCTGCTGCTGCGCCAATCCAAAGTCAGGAGCCAGGAACTTCTTCCAGGTCTCTCACACAGGGTCCCAAGGCTTTGGGTTGTCCTCGACTGCTTTCTCAGGCCACTAGCAGGCAGCTGGATGGGAAGAGGAGCAGCTGGGACATGAACCGGTGCCATATGAGATCCTGGCACACACAAAGCAATGATTTAGCCAACAAGCCATTGCAGTGGGCCCTACTTATACTCATAAATAATATGCAGTAAGATAAAAACTAGTGTTGTTTTTGTTTGGTAGCAGGAAATAAAAACTCAGAATTCCACTGGTGGAGACCTTGAGCACAGAGCTAATGTCCAACCTGACTCTTGCTCTGCCTCCCGCACAGATCTGATCGACCATGCCTTCAGCAGATTCCGTCACAAAGAAGTGGTCCATCTGTCCAGGCTGAGGGACGGGCTGAATGTCTTGGAGCTCTGGCATGGGGTCACATACGCATTTAAGGACCTGTCCCTGAGCTGCACGGCGCAGTTCCTGCAGTACTTCCTGGAGAAGAGGGAGAAACATGTCACCGTGGTTGTAGGTGTGTGTCGTGTCGGGGCCCAAGTGGCAGAGTGCCATAACACCCGGGCCGTAGGGTGCCCACCCGCAGGACTGAGCTGCCCTCCATGGAGTCCCTCGGAGACTGGTGCCTTCTCGGGCACATTAACAGATCAGAAGTAAAGCAGCCAGGACTCAAGCTGGTGTTCATATGTTGTGCTGGCCTTACAGGTCGTAGCTTACTCTGCCTGCCATGCACCAGTCCCTGCGTAAGATCTAAGCCCCAACCTCCAACTATTTGAAGCAAGATGTTTACTGCCAGCATCTGTGTTTCTCTTCCCATCCTTGTTCTGAAGAAGAGGGCTCCCCTTTCTGCTCATCCAGGAACTTCTGGGGACACAGGGAGTGCTGCCATTGAGAGCGTCCAAGGGGCAAAGAATGTGGACATCATTGTCCTGTTGCCCAAGGGTCACTGCTCCAGGATCCAGGAGCTGCAGATGACGACAGTGCTCAAGGACAACGTCCACGTGTTTGCGGGTGAGTATGTGGGTACCCCCACGTGGGCTTTGTTTTTCTAAAATTATCAGGTGAAAGATTTCTTCTCTTTAGCAAACACACACACTTGTTCTGAGTTTCAAGAAGACACTGGATTTGGAATAAATCAGTTCTGTTTGTAAACAACACTATCCAAATTGCTCTTCTTTCTGGAGCTTCCTGGTATGGCTTCAAGGCAGATGTATTATTTAAGTAGACATTCATTGTTTGTAGCTATGAATTATTTCCACTTAGAAAGTAGGGGTGGACCACTGGATTATTGTGTGTGGTCACGGGTTGGGTTTATAAAATCATCAATGTCATTGTCTTTCAGTCATCTCAGGCTTAGAATGAGCAAGGGCCTAGTATTCAATGATGGTATTCTTTGGGATGCTTTTGACTGACAGTAACAGAAAACTGAGGGTGACCAGGCTACACAAGAATATTTTGCAGCTCTGTAGCTGGGATGCAGAGGTGTGGTGTGTTCTCAGTTACTGATTCTGTGTCTCAGCATGACCCTCAGGAACTTATGTTCCTCCCATTCTCTGCTCTGCCTCCCCCAATCTTAAGACTACTCAAGGTAATTAAATCTGTCTCCTCCTGTGGCTCTTGCCTGAATTTAGTGGGGGAAAAAAACGGGGCATGAGGTAGAATGCCAGTAGGTCCCAATGATCTGAACTTAGAAGCAGGCCCATGTAAGAGCCAACTCTTAGTCCCATGGAACTGCCAGGCATTAATTGGGTTAGTTTAGCAAAGGAACAGGGTCGCCGCGACTGCATCAGGCCATGTGAGGTGCACATGTGGATCAGGGGTCAGCTCCCTGGCCCCACTGCTGCTACACAGTGGTGAAGGACAGAGTGATGAATGACCTAAATGCCTAAATAGGTGATTGGTCCAGTGAATTTCAACCCCTTCTTATACAAATGAGGATCTATTGGTGAAATAAACCCGGCTATCAGATAAAATTTAATATTGGCTTGGTTGTTGGCTGACTTAGTCCTGAGGGTGGAGTGGGGTGTATATAAGTTAGACTAGTGGGCAGTTAATTCACCCACAAACTTCTTCGATAATTCACCTAGAAATGAAACCGCTGTACATACTTAGCATCAAGGAGGGCAATCTTGCCTATGTAAGCTTACCTAGCATACAGGAGTGAAGGGCAGAATACACCTGCTGTGGCCTGAATGAGGCTGAGAGGGCCAACCATGTGGGAACAATGACTGTTGGTACCCTAAGTTCTGTCCAGTCGGTGAGTGCAACATCGGCCTCCTACTTCTCATTCACCGTCAGGTGAATACCTCTTTGCCCTAGGCAGAAAAGTAGGGAGAGAAGGCAGGGAATAATAAGAGAAATTCTTTCCCTAAGATCCCAGAAGATGAATACTTTTTATCATATTTTATGTCCTGATAGAAACATTGGAGATGGTTCTAGCTACATCTTCTCTCAAGCAAGAGCAGGTGTTCCGAGGAAAGATGAGTTGCCGCAAAATTTTTTGTTTTTTTTAAAGATAGATCTATCTATCTATCTATCTGTCTATCTATCTATCTATCTAAAAGGCAGATTTACACAGAAGGAGAAACAAAGAGAAAAATCTTCCATCTACTGCTTGACTCCCCAAATGGCGCAATGGCCAGAGTTGCTGATCTGAAACCAGGAACCAGGAGCTTCTTTCAGATCTCCCGCATAGGTGCAGGATCCCAAGACTTTGGGCTGTTCCTCCACTGGTTTCCCAAGCCACAAGCAGGGAGCTGGATGGGAAGTGGAGCAGCTGGGACATGAACTGGCACCCATACGGCATCTCAGGGCTTGAAGGTGGAGGACTAGCCAGCTGAGCTGAGCCCTCCTCAAGGTGTTTAAGGTTGAGTCTAGTAAACCTGGCCAGACCTGGAAAGTGAAGCAGCATGAGTGGGTGAAGGTCCCAGGATGCTGGGCTCAGCCTGCAACGGCCTGTCCCAAGCAGGAGCTGGCCACTGCAGGGGTGGGGTTCTTCCTGCCCCCTGAAATCTGTAACCCCCCACCCATGTCTCCCGACAGTGGAGGGAAACAGCGACGAGCTTGATGAGCCCATCAAGGCTGTGTTCGCCGACGTGCCTTTTGCCAAGGAGCACAATCTGATGAGCTTGAACTCTATCAACTGGTCCCGGATCCTGGTGCAGATGGCCCACCACTTCTTTGCTTATTTCCAGTGTGCAGCCTCCTTGGACACGCACACTTTGCCCACCGTGGAGGTGGTTGTGCCAACAGGGGCTGCTGGGAATGTCGCAGGTAAGCAAATCGGGGCCTTTCCTGAAAAACACCTGCTACCCTCCAGCTGTCCTTTGGCTGCAGTGGGGAAGGGAAGTTTTGCCGGAAGACTTCACCCCCTAACTTCATGGGGGAACATCTTGGGCTCTTGGCTGCAGAGTGAAGTCACAGATTAGCTCCTGTGAGTTCTGACAGCCTGACCTGGTGCCTCACTCACTCAACCAAGTGTGGGTGGTCGAGGTGAAGGGTTAGTTGCTGTGCCTGGCTGGCAGTGCGCTATCCCAGAAGTATGGACTTTAGTCCTTGCCCTGGGCAGCCACCCGCTGTGAGGGCATGTGGCTGGATTGACACAAAGTGTTCCCACCCTGGGACACCTATACCCATAGCCCAGACACTGTGAGGCAGAGAGATCTGGACTTAGGATTGTGGCCCCAGTTCTGTTCCTCCAACTCGCACCCCTTACTAGCTGAAGGGCTATGGGGTGGTCCCTTAGGCTCAGCTCCTCAGCTGTAGATGGAAGGAAGTTACAGGGCTTATCACATCCCTCAGGACTGCTGGCAGGTGTGAATGCCTCTGAACTTTGAAAGGCTAAAGGGCTGCGTGGCTGCCTGGCGTTAGGATCATTTCCTTGGACAATAATTAACGTTGTCACCCACTTACTGAGCTTCAGGCACCAAGCTAAAAATTTTGACATGTGCCACTGAAGAACGCAGCGCAGTTGCAGTTGTCCCTTGGCACCCATGGGACTGTCTTCCGCTGTCTGTTGGCCTCCTGCTGAGTGAACTGTGAGTTCTTCATAGAGGCAGGACCAAGTCCTTTATCAAATGCTTCATTTGCAAATATCTTTCCCATTCTCAGTTATCTCTTCAACTTGTTGAGATCTGGAAGCCCAAAAAGCCTCAAAAGACACAGAAGTTTCTTAACATTAACAAAATCAAATTCACTTGATTCTTTTCTGTTTCTAAAATAACCTGTCTTCTTCCCCTTTTGCACTTAGCGGGGTGCATTGCTCAGAAGATGGGGCTGCCCATCCGCCTGGTGGTGGCAGTGAATCGCAATGACATCATCCACAGGGCGGTCCAGCAGGGGGACTTCTCTCTGTCTGAGGCTGTCACACCAACCCTGGCTTCAGCTATGGACATTCAGGTGGGCCTGTGGGGTAGGGTGGGCAAGGGCAGGCAAGGCTTGCCTAGCTGCTGGCTGGGTGGAGCTGGAGCTTGACAAGGCTGAGATCTGCATACCACCCCCTGCCCCGGGGACTCTGCCTGTCCACCCAGGTTCCCTACAACATGGAGAGGATCTTCTGGCTGCTGTCTGGCTCCAACAGCCAAGCGACAAGAGCACTCATGGAGCAGTTTGAAAAGACACAAAGATTGACCCTCCCTAAGGAACTACACAGTAAGGTCAGTTACTACCCAACCAGTTCAGAGAAAGGATACGGCCACGTCCAAGGGTAGGGGGTGGAGATCTGGTTGAGGGCAGAGGGTACCTGCTGCTTGATTAGCTGGCGTGAGCTGGGTGCTTCCACAGTTAGCGTAGCCGGGCACATCTACATGGCAGGAGGAAAAGCAGAAGGGAGCATGCTCCAACTGCTTGAACCTAAGCCAGTGGCAAGATGTTGAGCCTGCTTCATGAACTCTGTGCCTCAATTTGCTCAGCTGTAGCCTAGGGTAATAGGAATGTCCACCTCACAGGGCTGTGCGACTAGAGTCAAATAATGCATTAAGACACTTTGTAGAAAGTGTAGTGGCATAGGGCTTGTCAGTAACTTTTACAAGATTTTGCTATTGTTAGCTTGTAACAGTGCAGCTGGACAGCTGGGAGCTGCTTGGTCCAGCCAGCATGAGCAGAAGCCTCGGTGTGTTGAGTTTTTTGTTTGTTTGTTTGTTTGCTTTTGTTTTTTAATTTCCTTGGAGTGCTAGGGGTCTAATTTGGAAAGGTTGCTTTTATTTTAATGCCATCTGGTGCTGGTTATTGGTATTTTATGTTTAAAAAGTAGGATTTGGGGGACTACCAAGAATTTTTCTCTAACATATTCCATGAGATCTTCTGGTTTGGATTTATTTATTTATTTGAAAGGCAGAGTTAGAGAGAGAGAGAGAAAGAGAGGTCGATCTGCTGGTTCATTCCCCAAATGGCTATAACAGCTGGGGTTCGGCCAGGCCAAAGCCCATAAAGCCATCCCTGTGTGCATTCACTGGCCTAAGGCCTTGGACCATAGTTTTCTGTTTCCCCAGCACATGATTAGGGAGCTGGATCAGAAGTGGAGCATCCAGGACACCAGTCGTGACCTGTATGGAATGCTGGTGTCACATGTGATGGCCTAATGCCAGCCCCTTTTCTGTTTTTGTTTTATCAGTTATAGGGTTTATTTGTTTATTTGAAAGGTAAAGTTACAGAGAAGGAGAGACAGTAGGTCCTCTGCTTCGCTCCTTCCCTGGCTGCACATTTAGGGGACACCCCCTTTGCTGGAATGCCCTTCATTCATTCCCTCATTTATTCATTCATTCATTATAAGCCAGGACCTATGCCAGGTACTGGACATAAAAAGAGAAAATCATGCCTCTCTTTTGTGAATTCTAATGGGGAAGGTGGCAGTACAAAGTGTTTCTAACATTACATGGTCTCTGTGACAGTCACATACATATGCAGGATGTTTGCTTACTGTAAAGCATGCAATACACTTTCAGAGATTATTTTCATCTTTTTTTTTTTAAAAAAGATTTATTTATTTTGGACTGAAAGTGCAGAGTTAGAGAAGGAAAGAGAGAGAGAGAGAGAGATCTTCCATGCATTGATTTGCTCCCCGAATGGCTCATTGGCCAGAGCTGGGCCAGTTAGAATCCAGGAGCCATGAGCTTCGTCCAGATCTCCCATGTGATCGTAGGGACCCATGGACTTGGGCCATGCTCTGCTGCTTTCCTGTGCATATTAGCGGGGATCTGGGTTGGAGGTGGAGCACCTGAGACTCGATTTGGCTCTGATGTGGGAAGCTGGCACCACAGGCTGAGACTTAACCTGGTCTGACACCATGCCAGTCCCCATTTTCAAAGATTGATCAAAGAAGGCAACCACACCAGGGGAGGATGGAGAAAAGAGTCTTGCTTTTTGAGAGCAGCAGGAAAACTTCCTGAGGAGGTGCTGCAGGAGTTCCCACCCCCAGGAGTAATAATAGAGGCACCATGGGACCTGCTCTGTGGTGTAGCCAGTGAAGCTACCTCCTGAACATTAGCACTGGCTCATGTCCCAGCTGCTCCACTTCCCATCCAGCTCCCTGCTAATGGTTTGGGGGAAGCAGAGGACGGCCCATGTGCTTGGGCCCCTGCATCCATGTGGGAGACCCTGAAGAGGTTCCTGGCTTTGACCTGACCACTGCAGCCACTGGGGAATGAACTGGTAAATGGAAGGTATCTCTCTCTGTAATGGTGGCTTTCAAATAAATGAGTAAATCCTTAAGACAAAGCAAGGCAAAACCAGGCCCCAGAAATATGTGAGTGCCTCTACCCTCTAGTTGAACAAGACTATATAGAGATGTGCTGCCTACCCTCAAAACTGGCCACAACCCCAATTGCCACCACTCTGACCCACTCAGCTCTCAGAGGCTGTGACATCTGTGTCCGTGCTGGATGCGGCCATCACCCAGGCCATGCGCCGCTGCTGGGACGAGAACCAGTACTTGCTGTGCCCGCACTCAGCCGTGGCTGTGAGCTACCATTACCAGCAGACAGACGGACAGCAGCCCAGGTACAGGCCCTGGAGTCTGGCTCACTGGGCCCCTCTGGGGATGTGGGCGAATGGCTTTAGCAGGTGTGCAAGGTGCTGGGTGGAACTGGGTCCCGAAAGAAGGAGCTGGACACACCTCCCAGCTCAGCTGGGGGAGGCGGTGGTGGAGCTAAACACCAGCCACCTGAGCAGTCAGCTGACGCGCCTCCCTTGCCCTTCCATTCCCACTCCTCCCACGTCACCCCACCCCAGCCCCATCCTCTTGCTGCTCTGGTTCCCATGGCACCCTCTTCCCCAGCAGCATTGCCCGCTGCTGCCTGGCACCTGCGTCTGCAGCGAAGTTCCCTGAAGCTGTCCTGGCGGCAGGTCTGAGCCCCGAGACTCCTGCCGCCATCCTGGCCCTGGAGCAGAAGGAGACGCGCTGCACCCTGCTGCGGAGAGCTGAGGACTGGACGCTGCGGCTTCGCTGCACCATCGAGGACCTCAGCCGGAGGTGGAGTGGTGGTGCCCTGCGGGTCGCCCAGTAGCCAGCATAATGTTATGGCCTCCTCCAGGCTCTGTGTCGTGAGGACGCGCACCCTCTGCCTCGGGGGCTGGTGCTGGCCAGTCAAGGGGAGTAGGGAGGGGTGCTGTTCTGCTGGTCTGGCCTCAGCTGATTTTGCTCTGTTTTCCTCGCTTCCCCATGTGCCCAGGGGCTTTGGAGCCCGGGCCTGGCTGGAGCAGGGGAGGGGGCTGCTCTGCTAATACAGACTTGGGACTCACCATCCCTGAGCCCCTTTCACTGCACTCCAAAACCAGATCCAGCAGTCATGGCACAGCCTGTTGGAGGCTTCCAGTGCCTGGAATAAAAGAGCTTGTTTGTTATGGAGATGAAGTGTATTCTGTGAGCAGGTTGCCCCATAGCAGTGCCGAGGGGTGCAAAGCCTGGGCAAGTGTGAGGGTGTCCACAGGTGTTGAGGTGCATAGCACCAAGTAGAAGCCTGTTGCACAGACAGGGAGCACCCCAGGAACCAGTACTGCGTTTGAAGCTTGTTTGGATGCCAAGTTACAGATGAGCAGCAAACGATGTCAAAGCAAGGCTCTCCCGAGAAGACAGGGGGAGGCAGGCACCTGGCCACTAGAGGTCAGGATTGTCCCCTCTGAGGGCTGCTGAGAAATGATCTTAACAAAGGTGTCTGGAATGCAGAAGCGAGTTCTTCCACGCAGGTCTGAGGGCTCAAGGTTTGAAAACTCTGGTTACTGGAGTGGGCCTGTGCTCGGTGCTCCCTGCCTGCCTCCCAGTGGAACCTGCCAGCCCATGCTGTCCCAGGGCAGTTGTGGGAGGACCCCTGGGAAAGCAGAAGCATAGCTTTTGGCATCAGGGGAAGGTGGGATGGTAGGTCCTTGGGAAGGTGGCAGGAATGTCCCCCGGAATGCCGGTAGCCTTCGCTGGCTCAGTGTCTGAAACGCTGTGGTACCACTGGTGGCAGAAACTGTGGGGACCATGAGCCATATTCACCACAAGCCTGGTGCTGGGGCTCACCACACTGCAGGAGGCCCATGAAAAGGTTTGGATGCATTTATTATTTTTTGATGAGGTGGGCTTTATGTCATTTATTTTAGAGGCATAAACAAGAGAAATTGTCCTCTCCTAGATGCCTACACCAGCTGCCTGGGCCGGATGCAGCTGGATCTGGGATCCTACTAGGGGTCTCGCACCTGCGTGTGTTGGGGGTATTATTGCCTCCTACGTACTGGAGCCACAGTACAAGGTGCTCTTGGGTGCTGGAATTGGAAGCTGGGACTGGAACCCAGGTGCTCTGATATGCCTCCGGAGGTCAGCTTTACTTTGTGCCAGACACCATTCCTTGATTTAAATTAAAAAAAAAATTTTTTTTTGATTTTTGATGATGTTTACATAGTTGATTTGTGTGCGAAGGGTCGAGAATCAGGGGGAAGTGGATGGGACCCTTGTTTCCAAATTTTCTTTTCCTTCTTCCTGTATCCAGGGAACAGGGGAGAGAATTGGGAGAAGCCACACCCAGCCTCCCTACCGCCTCAGTACCTGGAAATGGGGAATGGCCACCCAGTGTCATCCCAGGAGCACGCGCCGAGGGTTCTACTCAAGTGGTTTCAATAGTTCTGGAATGCTGTCAATCTCACTGATCCAACAAGGATAAGGAAATTCTTCCAAGGTCCATTGGCTGACATAATCCACCTTACGAGTCTCTGTTCTACCAGATATTTGCTGTCAATGAGGATGGGTTTCATTTGTGACATTTTCAAAACTGAAATTTTATCATAAGTAATTTGGCATAGAATTAAAGCTCTAATGCACTGTTATTTCAAGGTATACAAAGTGTTTTCATATATTAAAATAATTCTTGTGAATGAGAACACTTGGTGGGATATACAAAAGAGTTCCAAACAAGGGTATAGAAACAATTGACAGGTCCTGTAGATAAGCTCAATACCTCCTCCCTTATCCTATGTGACCCTCCATCTATAAAGCCTGATGCCACTAATAAGATTTAACTATTGACCATCAGTCATAGTCCACGTGTTATTGGCTCTGTGCACCAAGTCTATCGCTGCTTAACAGCGACACCACCTCCCATTCAGCTCAGTGGATGTTGAAGCCTAGCTCCATCCAACCAACCCCTCTCTCCAGCCCACACTGATGTCAATGGTTACCACCACCTGTCTAGCCAGGCCTGCGCCCAACCCGGTGCACCTGGATGGAAGATGATGCTGTCGGAGAGAGAAGACCACCCTCTGCTCTCCAGAGGCCTTGGTGGAAATCAAACAGCGGACACCTTGGCCTTCAGCTGTGAGCAAACACATCTCTGCTGCTGAAGCCCCAGAGTGGGTTACAGAAAAATCCACACTGGGTCTCTACAGCCCCTCCTGCTGGTTCTGTCCCAGCTCTCCCAGGGAAGGCAACAGCAACGCTCTCCATCTCATGCTGGGGTCATCCCTGAGTCCCTCATTTTCTGACTGTGATTGTAGACAAGCCATGGCCTCCATTACTCACTGGTTGTGTGGCCCTGACCTCTATCCACTCACTGCTGTGTGGCCTTGGGTACATGACCCAACCTCTCTGGGCGTTACAGCCTCATGAGGACCCCTTCTGTCGTCATTGTCCTTGCCTTACTTTCCCCTTCGGCTCACCACACTGGTTGGCACGGAGGACACAAGGCTTGTCTAAGTGCTAAGAAACTCCAGCGCCGCCCAACTGGCTCTCCTTGTTAGCTCAATTATGGTCTATGCTGCGCATTTAGTACTCTAAGCTATCCTTTGCTTGTTGCTAATTGCTGTGTGAATGAGCCTTATCTTGTCTGGGGAGTGTCTCCCCCTGGGGGATAAAGGCCCTGCAGTGCTGTGGCCCAAGCTCCAGGCACCCTGGGGTCTCTGGCTCTGCTAACAGGGTTGTGATGCCGCTCTGCGCTCTGCCGTGGTTCTGTTAGCCTACCTGCCTTGCTGGCCTAGTGATGGTGATGATGGCAAGATGCCCTCGCCGTCACCCACAATGATGTGCTGAGCTCTTGGAGAAGTGCCTTGAAGACACAGGTTCCTGAAATCTTCATGGAGACATGACATCTAGAGAGGTTAAGTCACACATCCAAGGTCACACAGCCAGTGAGTGGTGGAGGTCAGGTGCAAGGCTGAACAGAGGGGCTGAGGGTTCATGCTGGGCTACTGTGTCAGGACAGATGTTTTGGGAACCTCTGTTCTCCCAATTCTCAGGTCCCTGTGTAAACCGGTTTGAGGGCCTGATGGGAGATGGTGGTGTCTAAGGGTGGAAAATAGGACCAGCTACTCTGGGGAGGAGGTCACAGAGCTAGGAACTTTGGGGGCGACTTCCCTGTGGCCCAGACTCTCATGTAGCGTGTTGCTGTGGGCATGGTTGAGCAGGTGCAGCTCTGTGGGATGGGTGTTGGGGGTGGAGAGGGCAGGGGTGAGAGTATTTCTGTGGGTTCAGCTGCTGGCATGGAGCGGGACCCAATGGGAAGACTCAGTCTGGGTTGGAGTGGGGGAGAGTGGAGGTGGCCTGGCGGGGTTTTGTCAAGTTTTCTGAGTTTTATCTCCAAAACACAAGGCGAGCAGCACAGGGAGGTCAGCCCAGCCCCTTTGTGCAAGGTGCTGACTTGTTTAACCTGGTTGCTTGTGCCTGAGAAAGCATTTTCCTTCCCAGAAGACCCCTCTTGGGTCTCACCCATCAACCAGTGCCAGGACGGAAGAAGTGGCTTACGCAGAAGCACAGACGTTTGTGGCAACACTCCTGGAGCAGCCCACAGCTGCGAGTGATGGGTTCTGTGGTGCAGGAGCCCAGGCAGCTGTCCTGGACCTCCTGTTCACAGCACACTTCAGTGCTGATTGGGGTGTCCCAGGCACCCCAGGGGCCTGCTCTGTCACTCAAGCATTCCTCACAGACCACAAAGCCAGGCCCCGCTGCCCAGCACCAGCCTTCCCTGGGAGAGCTGGGACAGAACCAGCAGGAGGAGCTGCAGAGACCCAGAAGGAAGGGGGTTGGGAGAGGGAGGCTGCACTGGGACTCCTGGTCTCGGGGCTGTGTTCTTCCTCCTCCTCCACCTCCTCTTCCTAAGCAGTATAATCATTGCTACAAATCAAACCCTAGCAGGCGAGCAAGCAGGGGTAGCAGATACACAACGGGCAACTGAGGCAGGGTGTGGTCCTTCCCAGGGAGCCCTTCTCTAGTTTGGCTTCATAGAAGGTAGCCTCTCTCCGGTCCCCAGCACTACATTCCTTGCTTGCCTCACTGCCTTTCTCCCATTTTGATCATTCCCAAGGAAGGACACACTTGCAGTTAGCTCAATTTAGGCCAAAAGGGCGCAGAAGATTTGGGGACCAGCTCTGCTCAATGCTCCTACAAATAAAAGTCCCTGTAAGGTGCCACCTGCCCTTCCAGGCAAACGCACCCTCCATAGTCTTCTGCAAGTGCAGGATGAGGCCATGGCCAGCAGAGGGCAGCAGAACACACAGTGTCCACAGTGGCTTAAACCCCTGATGCCTCCCGCATACTCCACGCAAGAGAAATACTGAATTTGTTTTCTGGGAATCAAAGAAACTGAAGCTCTGGGGGAGGTAAAGTGTTTTAAGTTTTAATGACTTGTTTCTCAGCTTTAGCATTAGGAGAGATCTACTTTAAAAGAAATTTTAAAATAATTCACAAATGCCTCTAATGTTATCTTCAATAGTTTCCGCTTGTAACACAGCTACTGAAAATATGTAAAAGCACAAAACTTCCTACGAACCTCTCACACTGAAGTTCCACACAGGGAGAAGCAGAAACGAGGACTGGCCTTGCGGCCTGCAGCATCCCATATGAGCTCAGCTTTGAGTCTTGGCTGCTCCACTTCTGATCCAGCCCTTGGCTCATGCACCTAGGAAAAAAATGGCAGAAAATGGCCCAAGTGCCTGGAACCCTGCCACCCTCTAGGGGAGACCCCGATGAAACTCCAGACTTTGGCCCAGTACCAGCCATTGAGGACCTTTGGGGAGTGAGTCAGCACAGGGGAGATCTCTCTAACCTCTCTTTGACACTTGGCTTTTTAAATAAACAAATTAATCTTTTTTTTTAAAGATAAACAGAAATACACATCTAGTTAGATGTAAACAATCTATAAACAAAATCAAGTTGGAGGCATCTGCTGAGTGCCTGCCACAGGCTGCGCTGCACTCTGGCTCAGCGCTCTGTAGGCGGGCTTAGGTTTGGCTCTTGTTGGTTTAGTGTATTTATTTTCTGCTCTTCGTGGCAAATTGCTTTACTCTGTTCCTACTCTATTCCCTGCACATCACATGTGTGATCACATGACCTTCACTCAGGGCCAGCTTGTCCCATCGGCATCCCCACTGCCTCTC